CAGAGACGGATAACCGCACGGTCTGGGCGCCGCGGAGCGACTGCGAGCCACTGCGTAAGGAAGCCTCCGTGCCATCTAGCGGAACCCGCCGGAAAACGCGACCCTTCTACTCGTACGCGCTGGAGGGGACGACGATAGAGGGGAAGACGATCCATTTCTACGCTTCTCTATAATTCTCTTTCTCTATGTGTGTCTGTGTTACTTTGGGGTATATTTCTGAATGCCTGTGCTATTGTATCCCCTAAATACTAGCGATGAAACTTTTATGCGATTTCAGACAATGAGGAACATCGGAAATCGGAAGCACCAAGTCTGACGTCTCACGACCATTGTGCGCTAATGTTCGTGCCCAAGGATCGGGCATCGATCGCTACATGTGCAACGATCGAAGACACGGTTTAGCGAACTATGACGAGGAAAGATCGAGCGCTTGGTAAGAATCGGTGTACGAGGATGTAGAAATAATTGAGACGAATGGCTGGATGTACGAACATCCCTGAAGCCATGGCGGTCAACTGCATAAATTGAAATGCAAAGAGAAATGACGAGTATAGACATTATCTTCTCAAACTTATCTTGGAATTTCCGATTACTTATGCTGTTTTTCTGCGGTAAATACCTTCATTGCGATAAGTCCGTTGCTTGTTAAAATTCAATTTTCAAAACTTTATACAATATGGAATCGATTAGTTTGATTGGTAATATCAATTATTAGGAATGAGATAGATGGAGAACTGATGCAGTTGTTTAAGTTGGATATTGAAATATCGTCCACTTAGGATCATAGAAACTCAAGAAGAACAGCAACGATAAACTGCATTTTCATCGCAACAAAATTTCCCAACTAGTAATTATCATTTGTTATTCAGAAAGATTTCACCTAAATACCTAAGGCTATGGTTATAGCGGATAAGTATTCGAACGAACTGGTATTCTAATGAACTCAATGCGTCAATGCAATCAAATATGTATACGACTCTTACATATTCGTAAATCTGTAAATATTTTATCATTATGATGCTAGTTTTCCCAAATACTCATTCACTGTCAAACATAGTTTAAAAGAAAATATAAAGATTGGGAGGAAGCACGATCTGGAACGGTACGAAAGCCGCCTAGACGATGCAAGTAGATTCAGCCAGCGCGGTCCAGACAGCACTAGCGGCCGAAACCTCGTGGTGCCTCGTCTCGGGTTCCGTGCCCCACCAGCACGAAGTGCGGAAAGCGTACGCGGAAGCGCGGAAAAGCCGCAGGTGCGGGAGGCGGGGCGTGCGGCGCAAGCGCAGGTGCAAACCACACCTCCGCAAGCTCGGCCAGGGAGGAGCGAGACGCAAGAGAATCCGCAGAGAGGCTCGTGATTGGCGACTGTGTTCACCTGCTTGGTCCCGGTGTCCTTGCCGTTCTTCACCCCGTTCCCCTGATCCATCCCTCTCTACTGGCCAGAAAGACTCCCCCCGTTTCCTCATCCATTCCTCCCCCGCGGCGAATACGGAATCTATTAATACACCTGCATGATGTTAGTAATCACCTTGCACCCCCCACCACACGACTGATCTTCGTTTCATGACCGGTCACATCAGTTCTGGACCGATAAGGCGTGCACACGTCTTTCACACAGACTTGAAACTTTGCTATAGGGAGAACGAATAACGATGACGTTGTCTGATGACGAATTTATGTGATAGAATGTGCATGTACGTTGGTTGCATTGTTGCATCGAATCGATAGTAGTCAGACATTCAGTAGAGAAAAGGAGATTTTCTTCTAGTAAAGAAGATAAGGACATAGGATGGTACATTATCAATTATTAGCACGTATTTTAGTCGAGAAGTAATAATTTTTATTTTATTTGACATTTCACGTTAGAAAGCATACCGTGAAAGTGGAAAGTAAATATACATTCTCTGAAAATGACGAATCGTTTTTGGCTGTCACTGTATATAATGGGAGTAAAATAAATAGGAAATGCAAACAGTGGAAGACATCTAATTCGTACTAAGTATCATCAAGTGTCCTAATACTTATAGCCGACAGTATAAGGGATGAGAAGACGAACTCGCTGTCGTAATTCAACAGTTTGATTAGTTAACATAAATACGATAGTTGAAAATTATTTAGAATGCTTTCTCAATGTATTATAATAGAAATATCTTACAATGATAGGAAGTTTTCGCATGTGAACTTCGCTGGGAACCGAAACGCTCGAACATACGTGTCTGACACTGATAGACAATTCTACTTTAACGCGAGCCAACTGTCCTCGATGATCTTGGAAATATATCGATACCGATAACTATTAGAATATTTTGATAGGATCTTGATAAAAGAACAACGAAGAACTGAAAATTGATGAAATCTTTATTTCTTAATTATTATTGAAAAAAGTTTTGATCGATGGTATTTGATTGTTTTAAAAGAAATCTCATAAATTCTTGTTTCGTACGTATCGTAATAGTTTCTTGAAAATTGATTGATTATGTATATTTGTGATACAAAATAAAAGATGTATTTCTTTGGGAGAAGCATTCATCTAATTAAAAGTTGATTCATGATTTTCATCGCAAACACGGAACATGGTAGGCAAGCCGGTTACAGCGTATCCAGTTTTTGTTTTCCGTAGAAGATTTGATGTGATCTGTTGGAAGGACAGTTACGATGCTCTGTATGAAAGTTGGCAGCAGGAGGAATTAATTACCCAGGAAGCCAGACGGAGCACTTTGATGTCCGACTGGCTTCCGG